GCCCATTGACACCAGCTGGGATCTGGCCCCATTGACTCCAATGGAGAGACGCCCATTGACACCAGCTGGGATCTGGCCCTTGCTGGACTGTAGGTCGGGCTGGTATGTGCTGCCCACGGTACGGCCGATATCTTATCCCATCACATTACTGAGTCGGCGTGGGCCTTTGGGATCAAGGGGCCAATTCCCCCTCTCTCACCCTGGTGTAAACCAGGAGTAACTCCACTGGAGTCAAATGGCTGATTCCCTTCTCTCTCACCCTGGTGTAAACCAGGAGCAACTCCCGCCAATGGGGCCCCTTCGCTGTGGGGTAGGAGCAATGCCCCCCACTGACTCGAGTATGTGTGGGGGTTGTCGGCAGGTCTGAGCTATTTATTACCCTTTGTTGCAGCCCAGGGCGGCTTGTGTCTCGTGGGAACCTGCGTTGGGCTGGACTTCCCAGTGTCATAAACCTGAGGTGTGAGTCCCGGTGGGGGAGGGCCCCCAGCTCAAAGACTAGCAAGACGAGAACTTTCTCATGGGGGCCGGCGGGGAGGAAAGGCCAGGCTAGCAGCTCCCCCCAGCACGTCATGCAGAGACATATCCACCCATTCACAGACACACGAGTACATGCCCGGACTAGTAGCTAACCGGGCCTAAACCCCGGTGTAGACATGGTTCAGCCAATGAACAAATTCTTCTAGCCACTGCCTTGGAGAGCTTTGTTCCCAGACGAAGCGTAAAGGGATCACGAGTCAAGTCCAAAGCAGACCAAAGGGATCTCCCCAAACCGGGTGAATGGGCAAATTAATGGCAGATTAAATTCACTGTTGATCAATGCAAAGTAATGCACATTGGAAAACATAATCCCAATTATCCCTATAAAATGATGGGGGCTAAATTAGCTGTTACCACTCAAGAAGGATCTTGGAGTCATTGTGACTAGTTCTCTGAAAACATCCACTCAATGTGCAGCGGCAGTCAAAAAAGCAAACGGAATATTGGGAACCATTAGGAAAGGGATAGAGAATAAGACAGAAAATATCCTATTGCCTCTATATAAATCCATGGTACGCCCACACCTTGAATACTGCGTGCAGATGTGGTCGCCCCAGCTCAAAAAAGAGATATTGGAATTGGATAAGGTTCAGAAAAGAGCAACAAAAATGATGAGGGGCATAGAGCGGCTTCCGTATGAGGAGAGATTAAAAAGACAGGGACTTTTCAACTTGGAAAAGAGACGACAAAGGGGGGATATGACAGAGGTCTATAAAATCATGAGTGGTGTCGAGAAAGTAGATAAGGAAGTGTTATTTACTCCTTCCCATAACACAAGAACTAGGGGTCACCCAATGAAATGAATAGGCAGCAGGTTTAAAACAAACAAAAGGACGAATTTCTTCACACAATGCACAGTCAATCTGTGGAACTCCTCGCCAGAGGCTGTTGCGAAGGCCAAGACTATAACAGGGTTCAAAAAAGAACTAGAGAAGTTCCTGGAGGATAGGTCCACCCATGGCTATTAGCCAGGATGGGCAGGAATGCGACACCATGCATGAAGGCAGTTTGCCCACCTCCCACAACCAGTCCAGCTGGCCTGTGCCTTCAAAATTCCTGATGTTCCCCTGATCCGCCAAGCCAGCTTCAATCTGTCAGGCCAGCTGCTGAGACTGGGAAGCCTGGTAGCCTGTTCTCCCAGCTGCGCCCCCTGTTCATATGTCAGGTATTCATAGCTAAGCATGCCTATGGAGAGACTGGGTTACAGCATGGGACTTCCAGATTCTGGCCCCAGCTCTGGGAGGGGACTGGGGTCTAGTGGTTAGAGCAGGGGAGGTGGGAGCCAGGACTCCTGGGTTCTCTCCCTTGCTGTGCAGTAGGGTCTAGTGGTTAGAGATGGGCCATTGTGCTTAGAGTAGGGATGGCTGGGAGGCAGGACTCTGTGATCAAATAAGTACCCGCCTGGGGAACAGAAATTTGACAGAGGGCTCGTCAGCCGGGCAGACCAATGTGTAACACCCTCCAGTGACTGGACGCTGGCACCAGACAAATTCAAACTGGAAACGTTTTTAAATGTGCAGGGAATTAAGGGACGAGTTCCCAAGGGCAGGGTGGATTCTCCATCACTGACAACTTTTCTATCAAGATGGGATGGGTTTTTTTCTGAAAGATCTGCTCTGGTTCAACCAGGAATTGATTTGGGGCCGTTCTCTGGCCTGTCCTGAGCCTATCTATCTATCTATCTATCTATCTATCTATCTATCTATCTATCTATCTCCACACACACCCTCTATCTATCTATCTATCTATCTATCTATCTATCTATCTATCTACCTATCCCCCCACACACCATCTATCTATCTATCTATCTATCTATCTATCTATCTCTGCCTGCCAAGCAGCTGCTGTTCTGCCGCCCCCCCCCGCCCCCAGGGCCCCGTGGCCTGCAGGGCACATTATGGCCATGTGGGCAGGCCCTGGCGGTTGGCGCTTGGCTGCGGGAAGGTGTGGGCCTGGGAACCGGGCCTGGGGTCCGGCTGTGGGAAAGGCCAGGCCCTTCCCCGCCCTGGGCGTCTCCTTCCTCACCTCACCTCTTGGGACGGAGCTGTGATCCCCTTTCATCCCCGCCCGGCGCGCTGCTTTATGGGCCCTTCTGCTGCCGGAAAGCCCAGGGGGCCGGGGACAAATGGACGGCCCTGCAAAGCGGGGTGGGGGGCTCAGGCCAAGAGGCTGCACAGCCAGCCCCCGGGCCGCTCACCCAGGGGAAGGGATGCTGCCAGCCCAGGCCAGCGTCAAAGGGCCGGATCCTGGGCTGGAGTCCAGGGGAGACAGAGCTGAAGTTGGCCAGCCCTGCCACGGACCTGCCAAGGGGTCTCGGACCTGTGCCTGTGCATTCCACTCTCTGTGCCTCTGTTTCCCCTCCCACCCTCTGGCTATGCTCTTTGGGGGATGGGCGGTCTATCCCTGTGGGTCTGGGCAGTGCCCAGCACAATGGGGCCCTGTAGGTGCTACCATGGCACAGATAACAGCAAAACAGAGGGCTGGTGGGGGCAGGCACCCAGCACCGGGAAGGGCTTTCCCTAGATTTCCGGGCAGCAGACCGTGTGCTGCCATTCCTATTGACAACAATAAAAGGGGTTGTGAACCCAGAAGGCCTGGCTCCCAGCTCCCCCTGCTCTAACCACCAACCCCCACTCCCCTCCCAGAGCTGGGAAGAGAACCCAGGAGTCCTGGCTCCCAGCCCCCCCTGCTCTAACCCACCAGCCCCTACTCCCCTCCCAGAGCCGGGGAGAGAACCCAGGAATCCTGGCTCCCAGCTCTAACCACCAGCCCCCACACCCCTCCCAGAGCTGGGGAAGAG